GGGGGTTAAAAGTGCACTAATATGTTGGCCAAAGGCAAGTAGGCCAGTTAAATGAATGACATCAAGAAAGGTGGGAGAGATCATACCATATCTTAGGATGAGAGAGTTGCAGGATGAAGACCAAAAGCAGGCAGCAGCACTTGTCACGACCCAAACCCGGCCCTATGGGTTTAGTACCGTAACCGGCCAGTAATCTGAGATTACCGAAGGCCTGCAGAATAGTAATACAGTAATACAGAGTACAGGGCCTGACGGAAGACAAAACAGTAAATAAACAATGCCCAATGAGCTGTGACAGTTTGTATGCAAAAAGACTTCTCATACATTTATACATAAACAGTACAGAACAATATACACACTATTTACAATCATTCAGACTAGGGACTCAATCCCTGCATAAAAGTACAGTAAACATTCGGTTGATACAAAACAGTAAGACAGTACAGAAAGGGAGTTGTAAAACACCCCTAAGCCTTAACAGGATAGGCTCGGAACCTCGCAGTGAGGCACATAGGCTGGCTTGACAAAACTGGAGTAACCCTGACGCTCCTAGCCGCGGTCTGGTGCCTGAACACCTACATATATATATGAACAGTGAGCTAAAGCCCAGTGAATAACATAATGCGTAAAGAGGTTAAGAATGAATGTCCTTACAGTATGAAAACAGTTCAATTAAACAGTATTTCAGTTGTTCAGTCAGTACAGTCATATGTGGTACACCCATTAGCATAACAGTACAGTAAGCAGTAGGTCTTAAAAGACCGAACAGTAATGATGGCCATCAGTCAGTAAATAGTAGTGGTTCCAACAAGGGAACCGACAGAGATTTCTGTCACAGTAACAGTAAGTAGTAGGTGCTAAGGATGCCACAATACAGTTCAGAATATAGGACATACATTCATTCAGTTAACGGTAATCAGTTCAGAAAACAATACAGTTCAGTTGTTCAGAAGATAATCATTTATGAACATATCTTTACACAATCGTTACTCACAGAGTTCTGGGCTACAGTATGCTAGAGCGTGTCTCCCCAGTCGCCAACCCTACACAGTTAACAGATTGAACACACTAAGCTACACAGCTGGGAAAGATAATAACTTAACCCCTAATTTGCCTCGGTGTGTTCTACATCTATATCCTCAATAAGATGCCTTAAACTAGGCCTAAGAATGCCTAGAATGGGATGAGGATGCAAAGATGTGATGCAGAAATAACAGTTCAGAAGTTTCAGAAAACAGGTCCCAGCTCGAGCGCAGATTTACCCGCTCGAGGCGACATGCAACAAGTACACCAGTCGAGCGTCAACTCTCTCGCTCGAGCGCCTAATCTCCGCTTCGAGCGGACTGTAAAACATGCAAGAAATACTGGATTCGGATTCCACGCTCGAGCGCCAATTTCCGCCGCTCGACGGATAGTGCAAAATCTTGGAATTCAGATTTCTGCACTCCAAGCCAAAACCAGGTTGCAAATGCATCAAAACCAATCCTTTGGGCCCATTTTTCTGGAAAACTTATAAACACAGTAGAATAACATGGTCAAAACTCAATTGAGAACATAAAGCCCAAGGTTGTTTAATCAAACTCAATGTCAAATCAATATCAAGAACAAATAATGAACATGCAATACCATGCAATGAATTTTAAACAACTTCAAAGTTCAATTTGATGCTCTAAAGGAGCGATTGATCCAAAAACAAGTTGAAAACATGGACCATTACAAAATTATGGACATGCATGTGACAATTTTACCATGAATTCAACTCAAAACTCATCAATTCAAACATGCATGCATGGATTATGCTCTATATCAACATGTATGAACTAAAACATGGCTTAGCTCTACAATTTAACATGGACCATGCAAGAATTAGCTCAAACACAAGAATGAGAAGATGAAATCCTTACCTAAGTCTTGAATTAGGAGACTAGGAGCTCAAATATGCAATCTATGCTTCAATCCTCTTAAATTTCCAAGCAAAACCAAGCAAAGTGAGATGAAATCTAACTCTCTCCCTTATCTCTCTCTCTCTGGTCGGCAAAGGCAAGGAATGAGCTGAGTAAATGTTTTGTAATGCATAAGAATGAGTCCTCAAAGTATTAAGGAAGTGACCCACTAGGATGGCAATTTAATAATTAAGCCTAACTCTTTAATTGGCTCATTTTAATCTAATTTAATCATACCAGATCAATTTTCGGATAACTATACCATAAAATCACATAAATTACAATGATCATAAAACATCAATCAATTCCCGGTTCGGCCGCCGATAAGGCCTCCAATTAGCAGTTTAAACATAAAACGTGAACAGATCAAGTAAACAATCTAACAGATAGAATACAGATTAACACACATACTCAGTCAATTCAGTTCCAATTTTCAGTCAGTCAGTTCAGTACTTTAATCAGTTCAATTATCAGTCATAATCAGTTCAGTCCAACGGTAATCAATGTTTATCGGTAATCAGTGGTGAGGGTTATTGCAGCACTGATGGCCCATTTGTCCATGTCTAGGGCAAAGGTTGATAGTCTGATGGCATCGTAAATACCTAAAGCCCTCTAGAGATCAATATCGTACACCATCATTTGCTGGATCCATAGCCTCCAGTCAGGGTTAGGTTTTTGCGATGAGTGCAGAGGGTTGGGGCTTAAGTCCCAATAGTGCCAAGCCAGCTTTGCTTTATTGAAGAGTATCATTTCGGTGCTTGCGATAGGGTAATAATAAAAAGTTCATCAGGAATGGTTGCAGTAAAAGTAAGGCCTAATTTCCCTTGTGCAGAGCTGTTACAGCGTGGAATAATACAGCTATTGAAAATGCATTAACGGAGTAGCTGCTAGAACTCAGTTGGGAAACGTTGCATAGGTAACGTTTCTATTTGTTTCTTCCCTTTGGTTTGAGCTCGTTTAGGCGCCATAGAAGTATCTAAGTATAAGGGTTTCGAAGCAAAAAGGTTGAACAATCAAAGTACAGAGCAAGGCGGAGGAAGTGAGAGTAGTGAAGTGATGATTTGAATTCTAATAGCTTGTGGTGGACCCTCCTAATTGAGCTTGGGCCTGTTACTGACAATTGGGCTTAACAATTGGGTCTATTTAATTCGTATTTTCGATCAATTTTAGCATTTGGGTTTTATTATAGGTATTTGGGCTCTGATATGTGGGTGTGTCTTTATGAGCCTAAATGTTCGTTATTATTATAAACCACCCAAGTATATGAGTGTCAAGACTTTAAATTGTTCTTTCTGATATTCATTCAAAACAAAAACATCTTTTTTGTTTTGAATGAGGGGCCATTGTTGGCACTAAAATTTATTTTTCTCTGTTGAATAAGCATAACAAAATACAAAGAGCTGATCTAGTGGATGCTAGGGGTGAAGACTACAATAGGTAGCAAAAGCGAAACAATTAAAGGAGCAAATGTGGCAGACGTAGTTTCTCCTGTCGATTCATCTGATAGAGCAGTGGGATATGGCCAAACGTGGCCCAGGTGTCAAGTCACAAAGTTAGGCATGCAAGTAATGTAGGGTACATGTTTTGTTTGCAAGGTGAAAGAGAATGTTGTAACAAAGAAATAGTTACTAACGGTTATGGAGATCATGGGCAGTTATACAGGAAGTGGAGGTAACTTACTCCATGGTGGGACACATGGCAGCAGAGAAGTAGCAAGGCTAGTAGCATAAACACTGGAAATTCGAAGTAAAGCAAGATCTTTTCAACAACATTCACATCCCATGTGAAATTAGGAGTAGCACAACTTAATTAGCAATAGCTTTTGTACTTAGGAATATTTATGTTTGTAATTTAGCCTCTGTGGCTAAGTTTTCTTCTGTTGATTGTTATACACATTGAACTTGAAATTTAATTCTTTTAATTAAGTAGCAAGTTTACTTGTTCTTCAATCGAATTTCAGTTTATTCACACTTGTTTCTTCACATTACAACCTCCAAAGAAGTCCTTGAAACTGTCAAGGCCTAGGACATTCAAATCACAATTGCTTGATCTGTTATTGCTTGTGAAACTTTGGTTGTTCTGTCGAATCACCTCTATCGATTTGACCCAAACCAGATTTTTGCTAACACACCCCTAATTGTAGGTTAAATTCAAACAACGCTAGCAATATTAACAACTCAGGATATTTTGAAAATAGAAATATAATACTAGTATGTTTTGAATGTTATTTATCATTTTTCCAAAATATTTTGAATATACTAGCAAAACTTGTCACTCTACAAAAAAATAAAAAAATTGCACACCTCTGTGCCGAAATAATAAAATAAAATAAAAATTGAACACTATGAGTTGTCTGCTAGAGCCCATTTCATCAAAATTATGTCTAGTTTCAATAAATAAATAAATAATAAAAACAACAACAACAACATAGTCTAATATCTCCAAACAAATGTTACGTTTTTTATTTTTCAATTTTATCGATATATATGTCCTTTATACTTGTTTAAAAATTTTGATATATTTGAATTTATTCATGGACTTTTAAAGCCACCACAATCACTCACCACCTTCAATCCTTCCCCATGATCGGGTCTTTGTATGCAATCTCACATATGACTCTTTCCTTTTGCTAACCACTTTTTCCCTATCGTATCTTAACCGCTAGCCCCTCTCCTTTGTTTTCCACCATCCTTAGCCCTTTCCCCACCCTCCTCCTCTAGCCGTCCCTCCTTCACCTACCTTTTTCTCAATCATTTTTCCTCACCACAAATCAACCAACCCTTCTCCCTCTCCACCACATCCCCACTACCACTCCACCACCACCACCACCACCACATCCCTGCCATCCCTCCACTACTATAACACCCCTTCTCCCACCATAGATGTGCATTTCTTTCCAAATCACCCAATCCAAACGCAATGTTAAGGTCATTTGTCTCTCTTCTGCTTGAATCTTCCTCTGCCACTCCTCCCCTAAACATCCTCCAGCCATCACCACTAACCAACCCAACTTACCCACTCTCTCAAAATAATAATTTAAATATGATCAACAACGGATTGAGGGAACCAATCACATATAATAAAATAAAATTAAGAAATATCACCTTGATAATACCCAATAACATATCCAATAATCACTCCTTTACTACTTAAAATAAGAAGAAGATGAAGCAGAAGAAAGAAATGCATTGTGGTAAGAGAACCACATTTTTATGTTTCACAAGCAGTCTCATTCAAGCTTGGGCTACTACTACTACTTCAGATTCTCTCTTCACCATTGCACTATTACTCTCTTTGTTGCTGCTGTGATCAGAATTATGAGCAACCTCATGACATTTGGGTTCTTCTTCTACCTTTGCACTGCTGTCGCCATTCTCCCTTGAAGTATCATATTTGTCATCGTCACCATTATCATTTGAAGCTGCATCTGTATTTGTTTGGTGGTGGAAGAGGATTTCCTTAGTCCAACTGCGCAACTTCTCTGTAGTATCCTCATCTGTTTACATACAATCAATGTATAACAGTGAGCAAGCTCCCAGAAGACCTTGGAACAACACTAGCATTCAGGCACACGCCATGCACATGCAACTCAAAATCAGAGTTGTGTAATAGTTTAAAAGTAAAACCTTAAGATATCAGAAAGTGGTGTGAAGGACTATACTGCAGTCAATTAAAAATTAGTCTATCATTTTCATTCTGTTTTCATCATAATTTCAGCAAAACGAAAAACAATTTTAGCATTACAAAATCAACACGCACTTTCAACATACAGTCATGAATAGATCATACTAACAAGGACATAAGTTAGGATTAAGGAAATTCTCTCTAGCCACATATAGAAAATGATCATAAAATTTTATATAACAGCTATACACCTGTATGTACATTTGTATACTTAAATAAATGCATATGTATAGAGAGGAAAAGATTACAAGAGATGAAAGGTTTTCAAAGTAACATATGCAAAGGCGTTTCAAAAATCGCGCTTTGAGCAGGTTAAAACAAAAATTGGCTAACATATACGTATAACAGAACAAATGAACACGAGAAAATAATCACACAATAACACAAAAATATGCGTGATTCAGCTATAAGCCTACATCCATGGGTGAAGAATGGAAGACGGTTTCACTATCAAAGGATGAGAAATTACAAAGAGCAACTGTCTCCCGCAAGACCATCTGTAACAAGAGTTCACTTTAAGCTCATAACCTTAATCCCCAAAATAACCCATTTACCCATTAATCAGGTTGTGCAAGTCACTAAAAGGTCATAAGCACAAAACAAGTAGAGTATGAGACACTCACAACAATACATATAGAAATATCACATATCATTGATTTTTTTTTGTCACTGTTTATATCACTGTGTATATATATCTTTAATGCTAAATAAGCTATTTATTGCTTAGGCCTAAGGGAGAAGGTAATCTTTGCAGGGAGAAGAGAGGAATGTGAAGTTAACCAAACAAGCAAAACCAACCTAGTCTTGGGACAGTATGGCCTTGGGGGTGCCTTAAGATGAGAGGGTTGTGAAAGGCAGTGGCAAGCTCCTCAGAGGGCAACTTCAACCAGTCCTTGTCTCCTATGAAGTGAACTGATCGGACGTTGATTGGGTCTTTGTATGCAATCTCACATATGCTTGGATCCCTAAACTTTGACCCTGATATTGATACAAACAGTTTCAATGGTGGATGCTCCTTCAACACCTTCCCCTGCAAATTTCCAATGCAATTTAATAATTAATAAATAATGCAATGAATATTAGAACTAAAATTAATTTCTTCCTTTTGAGAAAAAAGAAAAATGAAAGGATACCTGTGCTTGGTAGCCCATCAAAAGAGCTGAGAGTGTTGCTCCCTGAATAAAAACAAAAGGAAAATGATATTCAAACGGAAGATTAATACATTTATCCATAAAATATATGCTAGTCATTTTGCATGGATTTGAAATAGTTCATTTGGATTGAGGGACTTGGTGAGAAAAGAACAGAAATGGAAAGAAAATAACTCTCATCAATTGTTTCGATGGTTGAAGATATAAGAAATGGTACGAAAGAGAAAGAAATAGTGAGAAAATGAAATCTCTTAAAATTCATGTTTTATTTTTTATTAAAATTGGTGAGATTTAGTGAAAAATAAAAAGTTGTTATATATATAATTATAATAGTTTTATTGTTTAATGTAAGTACAAAGCAAAAAAATTAAAATATACATATATCATCTTTTTATTATTATTATTTTATCGCCTTGTTTATCAAAGGAATGCATGTCTTCTTTAGCTAACACATGAAAGCTGCATGTCTTCATTCATAAGCATTAATGCTATGTTCAATTTATTGGAATGAAAGTTAGAATATAATAGTCATTCTGTCGAAATATACATTCTCATGTTTGATTTGGGAAAAATAAATGAAATGTAAATTAAAAATGGGATCACCATTCACTAATTTAAGAAAATGAACATTTCACTTGAAGGATAAGTAATAATCATTTCATTCATGCCCAAAAACATTTCAGTTAACTAAATACTCCTCTATGAAGTGACTTCTTTTTCCCCCTCTTTTTCTTGCTTTCTTTCTTTCTTGTTTTCTTATGATCAGTCCTCAATAACACGAAGCATGGATAATTAAATACCTGAGAGAAGCCAAGCAAACCATCAAAGGGCCCTTTTTTGGTCATGTAATCACACAAGTAAGAGATGCATTCTTCTAAATTGGTGTACTCTGTGAATTCCTGTTTTTTAAAAAAGTATATGAAACAAGCTGTTACGTTCCTTCCTCAGATTAAAATCGAAACATAGGAAAAGAGGGAAAATAGCCCGCTTCAAGGAGCAACAGAGCAGAAGTCCTATTTTTATAATTGATTTTTACTCTATTGTTTTGATGGAAAACTTTTTTTTAATACGCCAAAAATTCAATGAAAAATGTTTTCCCTGGTCAGCGGAAAACAAATTTACTTAGCTGGTAAACTTTTGTCACTTTTGAAAGTGGGAAAATATTTTTCAAATTAAACACTTACCAACACCATCACACTACCATTACCACCACCAACACTGCCATCACCCCACACCACCACCACCACCACCACACCAACACCATCACTGCCACAACCACTAACATACTAAACATAAGAAAATGCTTTTTGCGAAAAATGTTTTTCATAAGAAATTATTTTTTGCCAAAACAAATAGAGCATTCATCCTTATATACAATTATTTATAACAATAAAAGGTAACTTTAAAAACTACGAACTACCTCTATAACTCGTTATTCCAATCTAATACAAACTTGTTTAAAATATATTGAGCACCATTCTTGTACTCCATGGCAACTCCAGAATTTTTTTTAGGGTAGACATTAAAATATTTAAACCTTTATAAATCTACTAATTTAGACTTTTCAAATCCCACAAAAAAAAAAAAAAAATAGAATGATAAAATGAGACTTTTTTCTCGTGGAGTTTGGTTTCTCTATGATTTATTTGTGCAGTAAGTTATAAAATAAGTTTTTGAAGCATAAGATTTGAGACAAGAAATAAAATACATAATTGGATTATTGTCTACAAAATTATATATACTAGAGAGAATAAACAAAAATAAAGAAGAATCTCTACATTTAAATTATTTATATATATTAAGATCAATAATATTAATGATTACATTTCTTATCATATTTTATTTATTTTAGTTATCATTTCATGCATTAATACTATGTAGTAACAAGCATGAGGGATGACATTCATTAAACTAATACGATATTGACGCATAAAGTAATAAACAAATTATGATAATAAAAGTTGGTAATCTTAACATTATTATTTTAAGAGCTTGTGGGTTATGTATTGAGTGTTCAATGGAGTGGAGTGAGTGTTCAACCAAGTGAGTTGGGTTGATTGGGTGTTCAATGAAGTGTGATAAGGTATTCAAACTTAAAGACTGAACAATTTTAACATACATATATTACTAATTTATTAAACAAAAATTTTTATTTAGGGTGTTCAGTTGCATACCCTGTCTATAGGGCAGAGTCGCCCATGCTTGTACTTGGTACATCAGGGATTTATATCTCTCCACCAGTGTGTGTCTTGTTTTCCATGTTCTTGTTTAGATTTTTCTTTTTCACTTTGAAAGTTATTTTCAATTAATTATTTAAATGATGTTTGATCTTCATTATGATTGTAATTCATTGAGTTTTGTTGCAATATAATACATTAATAATTTTTTTTAAAAAGTTCTAACTAATTACTAATTAATTAGGTATGTAACTCTAGCATTAAGCAAATGCTTGAATCAAGAAAAATAAGACAACCATTTTAATAGTCTCATCTCATTCAATCTTAGAAAAGAAATTAAAATGTACCTTATTGAATTGGAACCATTCAAAGTAAGGTGGCGGGAAGATGCCCTCTATGTCGGATTTGCCTCCTGCTTCATATATCCCATCTGGAAACTCCTGTAAAAATGGTTGGCCAACATGGTTTATATAGAAATATATTGTACAAGCAATATTATTTAGAGTCAAATTGGATGATCCAAAGAACAGTACAGTTAAAAAGTCTTTAGAATGATTAAAAGAAAGAGGGTAAATCAAAGAGTGTAAATCAATCCCAAAGGTTGAAATTCATGAAAACCATGCCATTGGTAAGTGATTACCAACCAGCGATACCCACCACAAATCCACCACTTTGCACCATCACAAATCTGTCAATACCCACCCAATCAACACTGGCCACCTCTAACATTGCCTCTCACAGACCTTCAATCAAATACATTTCAGACACCATTTACTACCACCAACAAAATGAGAAGATATCATCAATGGAAAGATGGGAAATAGGAAAATTTTCCTTTGGGTCTTCTCCAACAGTTGAGATCACCCAAAAAAACAAAGCCAGAATCTATAGATTTTTTTTCTTTTTTCTTTTTTCCTTCTCCAATTCCTTTGTTTTCCCAACTATCAAATTAAACAGTGTAAACCAAGAAAGTAATGCCAATTTTGGGTCTTCTCCATTTCTTGAAAGCAACAAGTTAAGCATCATCTAATTTTGAGCTTCGTTTTAGCGTACACTTGGTATGCACACTTGATCATACTAGCCATCTCTTCCATATGAGTTGGGGAGTGTTTTCACTAATTTTTAAATTCATATATCCATTCCACAATTATGTGGCAAGGAAATTTGACTCGTGTATTTGAATGTGTCACAAATCAAAAGTTAACACCTAGTCAAATTGAAAAAGTAATTGTTTAGTTTATGACAAATAAAAAATTGACACATAACTTACCATGTGATTGTGCGGACAATTGTGAGTCACAATTTTTTCTTTTTCTTTTTAGAAGATGATCTATAACTACGGTTCAATAAAATGAACGATTAAGATTAATCTATTTGAGACACTTCCTTGGCTCCACAGGCTCTAATAGTAATACCCTGTTCACACCGCGGAGAATTGTCTCCCAAAAACTTGTATAAAATTGCGTAAATTACACTAATACATTGAACTCTATAAATTTAATAAAGTGACATTAAACTTTTGTTTTTTTTTTTTACACTCAAATATAAAATTTACTTTATTTGTTCATATTACCTGCATTAATTTTGCGACGTACTCAAACTATATCAGTATAATTCACTCCAAAAAACTTTCTAAACTTAGGAGTGATCACTGTAATTTGCTATAAAATTTGTACACAATGACGTAACTTTGAGTGTTATATCTTTATAACATTTCCAACCCACTAGGCATATAATGCTTGTTAGTTAAAATGCCTAGTATAACTCATTTTCTTCAACTCCAATACACTAGGCATATAATTAGGCATTTTAGCTCAACTCACATTCACTAGCTATATGTAGCTAGCCTTCAAGGCTATGCAAAATATATTTAATCATTAAGATCATTTTCCCTATCTTTGTTGCTGATGTGGCATTTTCTAAAATTAATAGTATTTAGATAAATAACTAAAATAAAAAGCATGATTGAAGTATAAACATGAAATAGTTGATAGACAAAATAAAATATATACTTTCTAGTAATAGTTAGATAGTTAAAATGCTTATTACCGTTGGAGATGCTCTTATTTTTAAAAAATAAGAATAAAAAAATTCAAGAAGATTTACATTTTTCAATGACCCGGAAACTCCTAAGGTCGGGCTCATTTATGGCCCGACCCTACAAGCCAGGATGTCAAGGAATACATCCCTCACCTCCAATTTCAATCAAGGTTTGTAAGAAGGTTGGTATAGATTTCAAACCCAAGATCTTGATCACGCAGTTTGTTACCTTACCAACTCATTCGACCTTGGGTTGAAAGATTCACACTTATCCTTCACACAGTTCATCTTTCATTAGGGAGAGAGGGAGAGAGAGAGATACCATGTGGAAGTGATGAGTAAAGATAGAAGGATCCCATTTGCTGATTTGTTTCTGGAGGAAACTTCCACTGGTTCTAAATCCATGGAGACACAGTATCTTCATCCTCTTTTCTTCACCTTTCTCTTCCATGCCTCTCTCTCTCACACACACACTCTACTACTTTACTTCAGATTTCACTCTCTGTCAGAGTGCTTGGGGGATTTTGTAGGTGTAAAAATAGAGAGATTTCGTCTGCACCTAACCCAGAAAATTGATGAGCGCAGCTACCACCTCGCATCGGTGGTTGGTGCTCCACGTGCATATTCACTAGTCTACTAAACTTCCAAGATTAAGGTTAGGTGTCGCCATCCCAAAAAAAAATTAAAAAGTGAAAAAAGTCATTATTTAATTTAAGGCCTGATTTGAGAAATTTTAAAAAAAAAATTAAAAAGTTAAAAAGCCAATAAAAAAATTAAGAAGTTATAACTATTTATTTTTAAAAAATATTAAAAAATTAATTTTACACAAAATTATTACAAACAACTCTGACGTCCCTACAGACACAGCTGACTTTTTTAAAAAAATTGCACAGACAGGGTGCACAAACAACACAGTACTGTTTGGCCCATGTGGGCACGTCACGGGTCCCATTTTAATAATATGAACCGTTAATATGTAGAACTCGTCAGGTACTATATGTTTGTAAAAAATTACGTTGATCGGATATCGCTAACTACATGATCAAATCAGTTTTGTAAAAAAAATGAATGGTGTTATAGTTAACAGTTGGGAAAAAAAACTAATCCGATCAAATAGTTATCGATATCTGATCAATGTGCTTTTTTATATGTATATAGTAATCAACGAATTCTACATATTGAACGGTTCCGATTAACAAAACGAGACCCGTGGTTGGCCCCCACGGGCTAAACAGTATCATCCAATTCAATGCTCGAAAATGAGGAAACCATCTCTTAGCCTATACTCTGCACACATTGTCTCTTAATTCATCTCACCGTATAGTAGGGGTGCAACTCGGGCGGGTTGAGAGGTTGTCTAAGCCCAGCCCAACTTGTGCTGAGATCTGCCCAGGCCGCCCAAGCTCAAATTGTAACCCGAGGTTGTCTGCCCAAGCCCGACCCGAGTTAAACCCGAATTGTCCGAGTTGCTCGAATTGCCCGAATTGTATTTTTTTTTTTGTAGCTACATTATTAAATTATTAAAATTGGATTCTATTTACTTTATATATATATATATATATATATATAGAGAGAGAGAGAGAGAGAAAATTATTTATACTATCAAAACAAATAATTTATGTAATGTAAGAGATATGTCACTATAATAGTCTTTACAATTTATTAGTGAAAATAAAAAAAATTAAGATTTTATGTTATTTGTATATATAATATATATTCAATATGATTTAATAATCTAAATTACTTTAATATCATGTAATGGCTAATAATTTTTATATATATTTAATATTTTTATATATCTATATATGTATAATTCGGGTTTTGGGTTACTCCGGTTGTTTGATGTCTTTGTCCAAGCCCGTCCAAATTTAATTCGGGCTTCTCATTTTTTGCCTAAGCTCGTATTGAATTTAAAAATATCTTGTCCAAGCCCTAAAAAAATTCGAACTGAATTCGGGTTGCTCGGGTTGAGCCCGCCCAAGTTGCACCCTTACCGTATAGCCTATTTTATCCCAATCTTCTCTTATATACTAATTTATACAATTTTTTAATACACATTCTTCGTAAAAAGTCAAAAAGTTATCCTAAACAACCATTTTTTTTCCCTCAGCTTTTTAGTCCAAAAAGTACATTTATTTACGACACCCCAACCAATCCCTAAGTCACATCACCTTATTTAAGTCATATCACCTCTTTACCACATCACTTCAAACCCAACTCATATTTCATAAAAAGTCAAAAAATGCACCTATTTAAAACATCCCAAAAAACCCCTAAGGGTGCGTTTGTTTTGTGTTTTGAAATATGTTTTTGAATTTTTTTTTTTCTAAAAGCATATTCAGTTACAAATTTTTTAATTTTTTTTTTGAATTATTTCTCTCTATTATACATCAATTAATTATTTTTTCTCTCTATTCTCTCATTCTCAATCACTTTTTCTCTCATACATATTTACTCAACTACAATAAAATATCAAGAATAATGCTATATGCACTAATTAATGTGCATACTAATGTACTAACAAAATGATGTGGCATCATTTGTATGGTTTTCGGTATTTGTAACTTGTATAATAAATGTGATCAATAATAATATCATAACAGTAATTAGTATACTATTGTGTACACTAATTAATGCATGTAGTACCACAAAAATATCAAATCATCCTAAACTCCCAAATTTCAAAATTATTTTTCAAAATGGGTCCAGCTTGTCTCAAGTTGAGATCAAGACTGGACTCGTCCAGTTCGGCCCATGGGGCCCTTTTTTTGGCCCGTTTTGATAATCTGAACCGTGCAATCTGTAAAAATCATCTAGTACTATATGCCTGTAAAAAATCACGTTGATTGAATATCAATAGCTATGTGATCAAATCAGTTTGTATAAAAAAAATGGATGATAAAAAAATTAACGGCTGATAAAAAACTGTTTTGTTCACATAGCTATCGATATCCGATCAACATGATTTTTTACAGGCATATAGTACTCAACGAGTTCTACACATTGAACTGTTCGGATTATCAAAACGGGACCCGTGGTGGGCCCAACAGTACGGTCCAGTCCGATCTTGGACTGGACCAAAGCCACTGTCTTTCAAAATATACAACCAAACCAAACAAAGTAAAAAAAACTCTAAACTCTCTTCTCAAATTTTTTTTGAAAATTTATTTCAAAACACAAATCAAACAAACCATTATTGTATTGATGATTGTACTTGTATCATTTTCAATCATAGAATTATGATAACACATAAATAATTTTGAAAAATAATTCATTCATCAAATTTGAATTTGTCTTGTCTAAATTTGTGCATATTAATCAATCGCCCAAATAATTAGCCGGATAACTTATGTGCACAAATTTAACTTGGTTTTGCAGTGGTTACGGTAGTCAATTTTTTTGTGTTGAGATTGTTTTAGCTTCGTTTGGTTTTTATTTTTAGATTTTTTTTTAATTTTTGTAATAGAAAAAATATAATTATTATAGTTTAAATGTGACATTTTATCTTATTAATTTATATAGTCTATTTTATTTTTTAATATTTTTTTAACCCTAAAATATTTACCAAACGAGGACTAAAACAAGTTAAAATTTGATGAATATAGCATTGCTCAATAACTTTTACATTTTTACAACTATGACTCGTAATTCTGCATATTTTGACTTTTAATCACGTGTTATAGTTCCGTTCTAAAATAAAATATAGTTTTGTTTTACTTGTGACTATTTTAATTAAAAAATTAAAAAAATATTTAAATAGTTTAAAAAATTAACTTACATGAAAAAAAATTTTATTTTATTTTTTTATTCACTCTGTAAGGTTAAAGATTCATTTATATTCACATTATTTTTTGTACATTTTTTTTTAAAAATCAAAAAAAAAAACATCAAGTATATTTACTCTGTTTGGTTTCAATAATTATGATTTAAATCAATTTTACCCAATTTTAAAATAAAATAAAATTGGGTAAATCAATTTTACCCAATTGCTTAAAATTGGGTAAATCTAAATGTGTTGTATTTTTTTTAATAATTATGATTTAAATTTGTAATTTCTCAAACCTCAGGGGGGTATTTGTAATTTAGCCAAACCTCGAGGGGTGTATATGTAATTTGCCCTAAAAAAAAGGGAAAAAGGGCAAATTACATATACACCCCTCGAGGTTTGGCTAAATTACAAATACCCCCCTGAGGTTTGAGAAATTACAAATTCCCCCCTGAATGCTATATTTGCATAAGAAATTAGGGGGTAATTTGTTATGAAATATAAACCTCAGGGGGTAAATTGTTATGAAAATACAAACCTCAGGGGGCGGGATGTAATTTCCGAAACCTCAGGGGGGTATCTGTAATTTAACCAAACCTCGAGGGGTGTATATGTAATTTGCCCTAATTAACAATTACTGCATGTCTCATCCACATATTACAATTACAGTATGCCTCATCCACATAAATTATTATATAAAGTATTACAATTTGTAGTTTTTAAAATATAAAAATAATTCAAATCACCAAAATCATAAACAGAGCAGTAGTAGAGATTGTATGTCTCTGTATTGTTACATTTTTATATGTTTTTGAAAACAAAAACCAACCAGCATATATCATATTTTCTATTTATTATTTTTAGATTTAGATTTAAAAACCAAAAAATATAGATAAATAATATGTTTATTTTTTTCAACTAAATATTTAAACTCTTTTTCAATTGAAAACACAAACATAATATTTAAACAAATTGAAAACACAAAATCTTATAAATTACTAGGAGTGCTCGTGATTTGGAAGAGAGTACATCAAAGGTTTGTTTGCTATACACAAAAGAGAGAGTTATTCTTCAGTTGTGAATTCTGAAGAATTCGAGCCTGAAGCTTTGGTGGAATCCGGAGTGGCTCATCAGAAAGACAATTCCGTGGTGAAGATGGGGTTGGAATGCCAAACACGGAATAGTATTGAATTTTTGCCAATTTGTGTTATTAATTGGGCTATAGAAACGCATATTTTTTATGCTCTTATAATAATAACAATTATTACTATTTAACATTCATGGTAAACTGCTATTAGATGTATACCCACATATGTATGTGTGTGTACATATATGTCTTTATGGGATGTGATGCTTTAATTGAGAAGTGTTGTAACGTTATTGATATCAGTTCATTAAAGATATGGGGATTGTTTCTATTTGTTTTAACTAATTGGGAGAGGAAGCTGCTTTGTTTTGTTGCCTATTTTAGGAGTAGCCAAACAAGGAATAA